GGCATGGGGGGTGCAGATCAATATCCCCACAGCAAAGGAGGGATTGGGGCTGGGGGTGGGGCTGGGGCAAACTGCCCAGCCAGGGTGGGGAAGTGTGGGACTTGGGGAGGCAGGCTCCTTCCACCATGTGCCACCAGTCCAGGAGGACATGGGAGCAGAGCGGGCTGGCCAGGCTGCACTCCGGGAGGCTATCCACAGTCACCCACCGGCAGGCTGCGCTCTGCGAAGTGAGTGGAGCCAGGGCTGTGCTCCAGGCGGCTAGCCACAGCCATAGCCTGGAGTGCAGCCCTGGCTCTGCCCACCCCACAGAACGCAGTGGAGTGGGAGCTATGGGGGGCTGCAGCCACCCTAAAATTCCCCATAGCTCCTGCCTCCACCCGGCCCCGATTCAAGTGTATGCACATACCCCCATGCTCTGCCACTGCTCGCCCAGCTGGGATGAAGCCATGGCTTGTCCAGGAGGTGCGGGGAGCCTGGACAAGCGGTGGGAAGGCATAGTCCCTGCTCCCAGCACCTTCCACCCAGAGTAAGCTGCACCTGCATCATGCCCCCCCACCCCGGCTGGACAAACTGTGGCAGGGCAGAGCCCCCACTCCCAGTGCTTTCCACCACCCGTCTGAAGTGCAACTTGGCTCAGCCCACCCCACACAGATCCCAGGGCACACGCCCGCTCCCATGCCCTCCTGGACCAGTGATGGGAGACCCCCTCCCCAAGTCTCATGCCTCCCACCCCAGCTGGGCAGCTTGTCCCAGCCCCAATCCCTCCCTCACTGTGGGGGCTTTGATCTGCTCCCTCATGCCCCTTCCCTCCCCCTTCCACCCACCACCCGCCACAACAGACTTACCAGCTGGAGGCAGCTGTGTCCAGCATCCTCAAGGACTGCTGCCTGTTTAGCCTATGGCCGAATTTCTGAATCGGTGCCAAATCTTCAAATCCAATTCAGCCTAATCGAATCATGACAGTGACTCAAATCACCGAATCAAATCACTGCCCCTCTGAATTGGCCGAATCCGAATCAAATACTTGCTGCTTCGCACAGGCCTACTATCAAGCACTGCTCAGAGTAATGATCCTGTGACAAAGGGCTAAAAACACCAGTAACCACTCAAAAGTAGCATTAACAAAGCTTCAAATTTGTGCAATTGTGAGAGATTTACCAACACACAAGTGTAGACAGTCGCTTAACACTTCTGAAAAATTAGAGTAATAGTAATAGTTTGATTACTGTATATCATTTATTTTTTTTAAAGAAATTGTTGGAGCCATTGCTCTAGCATCTGAGCTACTAACAACATCCTGATAATTAAATGGGTAAACAGAGATGCAAGTTGTCATTTGAGTAGGATAGATACTATCTCATATCATAAGCCACAGACACTAGGTGCCTAATGAAGTCATTACAGGGTTATAGGTTGTAGCCATGTTGGTCTAAGGACACAGGCAGACATGGTTCTTCAGGTAGATCTGATATCTTTTATTAGACCAACTCAAATAGTTGGACAAAATCATCTTAGCAAGCTTTCGGGTATAAATGCCCTTCGTCAGGCTGAGGAAGCATCTGCAGTCGGCTTACGCGCTCTTCCTGGATGGAATGAAGTCATTTGCACTATGGCAGAATTTGGCCCTAACATTTAGATTTTCTTTTTTAATCAATTCACTTTTGTGCTGAATATCTTAGAGAAAAGATGCAATTCAATTTAGAAGATAGGTTGTACAATACAGGGAAATAGAGATGCAAGTCATCATCCGAGTCACTTTCATTAGCCTACATTTTCTAGGACAGTCCCAAATTCTGGGGTTTGCTCCTGGTGTTAAAGAGCTCCTGAAACAGGATGCTTGTCCTGAATTTGAAAAATTGGTCCCAAATGGCACCCCATCTCTTATCCTCAGCATCAGCTTAGAGGACTGCATAATATCTCATGAGCGTGGCCATGCCATACACGGCTCAGACCAGTATGGTTCATGCAATGCTGTGCTCAGGTGAATTAGCTCTGTCCCTCAGAAGCATGTACTTCCCATTGTGTGGCACCCCCAGAATCAGACGTGGTGTAGAGGATCATCCTGAGACTTCTCCCTGGATTTTGCACCCTTCAAATTGGTCACCTTAACCTACACAGGGGCATCTATATACTCAAAACCATCCTCAGCTCCCAGCAGGTTTTGCCAGAAGCTTCTGAAATATTCCATGAGGTTTGACTTGCATTTTGTGCATTGCCTCTCGATCTGCTCGGCCTGGGGGAACTTGTTTAGTTTTTTAAAATTAATTTGCACAAACACTGTGGGCTTGAAAGTTTAATTTGAAATTTAACGTTGGTGGGTTTGTGGTAAAAGGGGCAGAGAGGATAAGATGACAAGAGGAGCAGAGGGGACAATTTAAAAGCAGGTGTGGGGGAGGATGAGCGAGAGAGGAGAAAGGAAAAATATGACTGAAAAAGTAAATTCATCATATGTACCATATATAGGGCACCCACATGTGCCTGTCTCTTTTGAAGAATGCCTATTTTTTGAATACATAGACACAGACATCCTTAAAACACTACCCAGACAAGATGCTCTAATGCACATCTCTGTCCCCCCCAGGGCAAGGATAAGAGAACGAACATATGACAGATATTAGTCACATTGCTTAATGCACTACTGGATGTGGTCTAGCTACTAGGGTGACAAACATAATGTATGAATTTATATAGCATAGGAAGAGCTCTGGAGAGATTCACAGGAGTCTGCCCTCCGGTTGCAATAGAGGCCTTAGAACTGCAAACCAGTTATTCCTGCGCTGGGTCCCATAACTTGTCATCAGTGCAATCACTATACGGGCTTTCTCCTTTAGCTAGTGAATCCGTTCCTTTAAAGCATTGTTCCAATTTTAGGGGAGTTGAGGTGGAAGAAAATGTACAGGAGGGGAGAAAAGTCTATGACATTGCGCTGATTGTATGATCCAGGTCAGAACTCCTCCTCCCAGTCCCCACTCCTCGAACATCCCCCCACTTGCACAAGGCTTTGCCTATTTTTACTGCATTTTTACTTGATTGCACATATTATTATATTAACTGCAAAAGCTTTCCAGAGTACTAAAAAGGAAGGAGCATTAAAAATACACTGAAAGGTCCTTGAGCTCAATTAACACACACCAGGGGGGTTGGGGGGCTTCAGCTCCAATTATAAAAGGCAAACTTAGCCTTTATTTTTTTTTGTAATATCAGCTAATTAGACTTTGACAACCAATTAGCAGATTTTTAGCTTTACTGAGCATCAAGAAAAAAGGGAGACCAGAAGAACCAACCAGCAAAATGCTCCTTCTCATGCCCCGTACAAGCTATGGTTAAAATCCAGGGGGTCAGATCCTGGGATTTATATCCCTTGCAGCTGACTGCCAAGATGGTTGCACAGGACATCAATGTAGCACGCAATCTGGCCTGCAAACCTAACCTGACTGTAACGCATTCAGTCCCACTGAAGAATAGCACCCTCCATCCCACTTGCAAGGTTACATTTTAACTTCTAATAACCTTTTCTCTATTTTTTCTAGCCTCCATGAAGTACCCAGATGATTATTTAGGATTAATGGATTATCAGAAGTGCCAGTTGGCACTCTCCTAGCAAAAAAAAAAAAAGTGTAACAAATGCAGCTGTTTACTAATAAATAAAGCCTCAGCTGTAACAGAAATAAATTAGATGCATTTAATTGGTCAACTGAAAACCTCCTCTCTTTATTACAATGCTGCTTCTTGTTATTTTATGATGTCAGGGTACATGGCAGACTGACAGAGTGTTTATGAATCACAGTTTGCAGATGGCACTCCTGGTTTTTCGGCAGTTATGAGCACAAGTAGCATGAGGACTCAATAGAGGGGTTTTGCCAGCGAGGACCCCCTGAGAATTAGCTGCCTTAATTTCTCTTGTGCCAATCTCTCGCTGACAGGAGCTCTATTTCACAAAACCTACATTCAATAAATTACACCCGCCTGGCAAGAATTTAGAAATATTTAACACTCTGAGGACACCAGTGTCTCAGTCTCATTTCTATTCATTTCTAAGGGATGTGAGAGAGAACCTGGAACAGACCCCATGCCGTCTCTCCTCCTCCCCACCTCTCCAACCCCCAACCCCCACATATTAGAAATATAAGGGTCTTTGTAGCCTGGAATATCTCACCCTGCCTACAATGAGATTTCAGGTCTCCTGAGGACAGCTGAAAATCTTGTGCCCTGGACTCTGAGTCGCCCTAACTAATGACAGCTTTGTAATCCAGTTGGGAAATAAGCTCAGATCGCTGCACTTGAAGCTTGTGAGCTGTAAAACTTGTGGACTGAACTGTTTCTTATGGTCACTTCAATGAGTTCAGAGCAGAATGCATGAGGGACGTGGTCATAATTGTCAACAGATTTGTAAATGTGTGTCATTAGTTATGCGCATAATGGAGTTTATTCTAATGAGTTTGTTCATAAGAACACCAGGAGGAGCTGGCCTCTTTGGAGGAAATGAAGAACAAACTTTGCCCATGCAGTTTAAAATGCATCGGTGCCACATAAAGGAGCGTGCAGGGTTTCCTTTCTGTTTAATGCACTGCAGATTTCACTCAGGTGAAGTTGATACATCGGGCTAAACCTCACCACAATGGCTGCAAGCTCATTTCCTACCTTTGCCAACATTTCTAATGGAGAGATGGAAGCTTTCAGATGGGGAGGTGTTCTCCCCATCCATCACATGAAAACCGGAAACTATCACGGCTCTTTAGATCCACAATGTTGGTATGGAAATACGAGAGGCAATTCATGTCCACATCCTCTCCTGGAACAGAGAGCAGTCCAAGCTGTGGTACCCTGAAAAGCAATGTAACATGGTTGGCTCTGGACACACAGAAGGCAAAAAGTAACCATAAAGCCAACATGATCACCATGGTGCCTTCTTCACTTCTAAGAAGTGGGGAAACTCACATGACAGGGTACATGTAATGGAGCAACGAACCATAAGTAACAATATTAGAGCACTAATTTCATTTTCTAAAGACCCCAAAAAACAGCAATGCTTGTATCTAGTGCTTGTATTTTGAACCACTTCTTTGGAAAATCTACCTCCTGCCTGTCTTGAAATTAACCTAGAAACGTTTGACTGCATGCATTAGGTGGGAAACATCCAGAAACGTCCATCTACCCCTACCTGAACATTATCAAAATGAAGTTTTCTATGTATTCAGCCAGGTCCCATCCACACCCCTTTCTTTCTTCCCTCCTGCTCCCCTTCCCTCCTACCTCCCTCTGCACTGGACTGATGTCTTTCTTATATCCTACTTCTCAGCCAACCACATATAAAAATCCCTGGCACATGCCAAGAACTACAGATGGGTCCATTGTAGCACACCCTAATGTTCATTGCAGACACCCAGGTGTTTCAATTTATTCTTGTTTGCTAGCCAGAGACAGGCTTTATGCCAAAGGGAAGGCACAGAACACTTTGATACCGTGATGTGAAGATATATAAAGACAGACAACTAAGAGACAGAAGAGGAGCAAAAGTGAGAAGCTACCCACAGCATTGGAAGACTAGTCCAGCATCAACGTTCTTCCTCCCTTGGGTCTGTACCGCTTCCCATCCCAGATGGTCTCATCGCTGGATTATGCGTTAGAGCCCTTTGCTGCATGGACTTGACCCAGGATTAAACTGGCTCCCTGGGGACCTCCTGCCTCCTGCATGTTCTTTAAAGTCTTGTTGATTCGACAGCAGCCATTCACTCACAAGGTGCTAGGAGTTGTACAGTTCTGACCATTGTCCTTCTCACACTGGTCTCCCTGGGCTCTCATACGTTGCTTGTAAATTTTACATAAATATAAGTGTCAGTAGAGTGTCTGGACTTTCACTAGCTCTTTGTCTTAGCTGTTTTTTTTAATGGCCTTTGTCCAAACCTCAGGATATGCAAGTGATACTTAGGGGATTTTGTTATTAACAAATATAACAGGTTAATACTGTCCTAATTCCTTCCCCCTCTCCCCATCCCAATTTTTCCCTCCCAGGAGCCTACTCTCCTTCCAGCCTAATTTCCTCCAGTTTAATTAATTTTCAGTAATCGCAAGTCTAGACACCACAAGCAGCAGCTTCACACACCAGGTGACGTGCATAAAACATTCTTGGCCACTACAAGGAAGCACAAAGCAATTTTATGTGCCATGCTGCATGAACCTATAGTGCCCACTGATCCTCGTCTCCATGCTGCTGGAAATAGCTTCCCTGATGGGAACTGGTCCATGGTGAAGCAAGAATGTGACATGAAGTCATCCCCCCCCCTCCTTTAAGACTTTTTTTTAAGGATTCAAATGAATAAAGTATTACCTTTAACTTAACTCTCTTTTTCTTAATAGTGGCAGAGGAGGAAATGGCTATGAGGCACTTGGTGTTATTGGAGAGGGAGTCACGGTATGTTGGTCATCTCTGGGGACAGTTAGAAAAAGAGGACACTTGAAAGGGAATCTGCCATGGAAAAGACAGAGGGAGATTTGGGTAGAAAGAGCATATCAGAAATGTGAAGGTAGTGGCATGATCCTTGGGCAAGAATACATAGGAAAGCTGAGATCTCTCTTGGATGGTAAAAATCACATACTTTCTAACCTGCAGGTAACAGCACAGCAACTCAGAGCACCTCACTTTCTAACCTATGCATCATATGTGTTGTTTTTTGATACACATAAACATAAATTAATTTTGCGTGCTTTTTGCTATGATCCTATTCTTTATGGCTCGAGACTGATGCTGCTTTTCCTCAGCTTCATCCAACCCAGCAAGCACATGCACTGCCTCTTGGCAGGCTGAGAAGAACCAAGCACACTGAAGATGAGGTACAATCGATCCAAATACTATGAGCTCTAAATACGGGTACTAGACCCGGTAAATATTGAATACTTTCATAGAGGTTGTGCTCCCCCCTCTCCCTCCTCCCCCCATCTGGGGCACAGAAAAAAAAATCAAAATATGTTAAACCTGGTGGCCACCTAGCTATTTCTTTTAACATCTAGCTCTTTCAGTCTGACTCTGGAAAGACCAAAAAAATGGTAGTTGAAACTACTTGACAGAAGGGAGAGTCAGTTTGTGTATGTATTAGTGAAGTCCTTCTACATCTGGTTACAGAGGATCACTGCTGAAGTAGTGTCACCCCATCTAATCTGAGGTTTAGCATGGATAGTTAATGAACATGGTTCAAAATGCTCTTTCCTCCTCCAGTTTTGATCAGCTCCATTTCTTCATTTATTAGTATCCTCAAGCAGGACAAGAAGCCGAACTCATAATGGAAACCATCTCCTGCCAAATCAACTTATACGCTTTAATTGGAAAGGCCAGTCCATACTACACATTATTATTCGCAAACATGTTTGCTTATGCTCATGAGGCTGAAAAGTGGAGAAGACATGTCTTTACTACACTCAAAAGGATCAGCTCCTTCCTCATAAAATATGGGCACTTGAGGTTTGGTGTTCTTAAAAACAAAACAAAAAAAAATGGGTGCTAAGACTATACTACATTGTTTATTAAAGACCCACAATGACATCTTTACTTCAATTAGGAATGAAAAAAAATCTCACATGGTTAAAAGACTGCATCTTAGCTCAGATCTAATGAATCTTTTGACCAGGTCCAATTACATTTCCCGTTTTCTGATCAATTTGCTGTGTTCACTGATGGCCATCAGCCAAGACTACCTGAATCCTGAAACTAATTTTTGTGTTTCTAGCAAGCAAAATAAAACACAGAAATCCACTTGTTCCACACACTAAACTATATTTCTGAGTTATGAGCTAAATTTCCGCCTGCACATAAGATGCCGAAAGACTGGGAGTCCACTTCAAAAGCACTTCCTCTCTCTCTCTCCCCCTATATTTAAATTAGTAGATTATGTGAAACCCATATTTTATACCTCTGCACCAAAATCATACAATTGCTTACTAATATTATGCAATGACATAATGCCATTTGTGGGAGTGTGACATAAAGGGATGGACTTCTACTGGTTTCTGATAGCAGGACTATCCACTAATATATTCTTTTTTATCAAAGCTTTCTCAAAATTTACTGACCCCAGTAGATTTCTCTGGTTGCTTAATTATAAGAGAAAGATGACAGGATAGAGGCTTAGTGAATCTGTATAAAAGTCCATTAAGATGTTTCATTACAACAGCAGAGCGTTGGTGAAAAGAGGCATGTCAAAAGTGCCAGTCCCAGGATCCTATATAAAAGAACAGGGTTTTTCTACTAACTAAGCCTAATGGTGGGTACTTGGACTCTGCACAGTGATGCGGGATTGAATCTACTAGCTTACCTTTATAGGCCTGGGCACACAATATGCTTACATCAGTATAACGTACATCCATTCTGTAGGGTGATATAAATTACGCTGAGACCCAGACCAGACAGATGTGTTCCTATCCCACAGAGGTGCATGCAATGGGCAGCTATCACCTCACCGCTAGGAGGCAAATGAGACTGTAACGACAGCCTGTTTGCCTTGAGCAAACTGCAGCCCAGGAGAGGCTGAAGACACATGACATGTAGAACTTATACCAGCACAGTTTTACCCCTGATTTCCCCTAAGATAATTCTGTATCAGATCAGAGTATGTGACCAAGGAATGACTGTCATAAATCCGCTCCTTTTTTGCACTGCTGTAGACATGTAGTAATGTCCAGCCTCTGTATCAGATGGGGTAAGACTTATTAGCTCCAGGCTAGAAGAGGTATAAAATGGATTTTGATGTCTTTTGGAGGCTAAGGGGAAAACAGGAACAGTAAAACAAAAGCCATGCAAAGTAAACATCCAGGACCCAGACAAACCAGAAAGCAAGCACTGGATAAGACTGATGTTGTGGTGTTGCTCTTTAATGCTCCCAATAAATTCAGTCACATAAAAAGGGTAAGCTGAACCACTTGAGATGGATGTATTATGTCATAGGAGCAAGGCAGGAGCTCACACTGTTTATAGCAAAAGAATACGAGTGGTGAAAGCAATCAGTACCTTTAATTTTAAGTCTCCAAACTTTGGCACATCAATGAGGATGTAGTACAGTTTCTCCCTTGGAGAACCTTTGTCTTCTGCTTCTAATGTTACACTAAAAATGACCTTTTTTTCAGCAACTTCAACCTCCAAATCTGCAATCCTGGAGAGACAGAAAGGGAGCTACCAGTGAGAAAGCAAATCCTACAATGGTAAGCTCCTGTGCAATTTTGGACTCGGTAACATTATCTATCTTGCATAGTGGCTACTAATTTCAGAGGCCATATTTTACACAAGTTATATCGTGGCAATGAAAGGTTGTTAGTTTCAGAGCTGGTCAGAAAAATAGAAAAAGAAAGAGAAAAAAGAAAAGAAATGGCAGGAAGCATCTTTCCATGTCTCTGCCTCAGACCTTGCAGGTCCACCCACCTCATCCCACTCTCCTTGATGTAAATATGTAGGCAGAAAGTCACTTTGGGGCTCTCTCAAGTGTGGGGTCACAGCCCTTGGGAAGAGAAGACGTGCCTAGGCTGGCAGCAAAGCAGCGGTATTTCTATTAGGCAATTCTGGGCAAAGAAGGAGTTAAAGAATAAGAGTGAAGTAGTTTGATGGAAAAGGTAGTTCACATATGCGTCAGTAAACACTTGTGGTACAGGTGAAGAGGTTAGACAATGATAATGATGATGAATCTTTAATTTCCTCATGGCAGGAATGACACTTCCTTTACATGTTTGTCCAGCATCTAGCACAGTAGCACAGTTAAGCCATCTTTCCTGCCCACACTTTGTATCCCCTATCCTTTGTATTTTAAAATAGAGGAAGCAGTGCAACGAGCCCCTCTTCCTCAGATTTAAGCTGATGTCTCAGTCCCTGTCTGATAAGCTAGCCATGGAAAAAGAAAACAAGTCAAACCAAATGGGGAGGAACTTGGGGGTGGGGGAGAGTGAACAATACCTGATTATTTCCCCATAATATTTTTGCATCTCAGGAAAACTGTATTTGTGAAAGTCTTCCACCTAGACATCCCTCATTTGTGTGACCATCACTCGCTCAGCATGATACCACAGGGCTCTCTTCACTTGGCAACACCATAGGATGGAGTATTCTTGTTCTTGAGCAATTTCTCCAGTTTATTAGGCATGAACAGGCTTGTACAGTGTTTATAACCTATACCTCAAACAAATATTTATTATAGCATCTGAAGGGGAATCCCTAGCCCACAACAGTATATGTGTCTTGCCTTACGTTCTTATTCAGAATCATGGGCATACATGTCTTTGCACTGCCTGGTTCTTTCTTGCTGTAAGAAGACCCCCGCAAACCTCCAAAGCTGTTTGGTATCTGGTAACAATGCCATTTTTTGTATACTGCTTTACGTGACAATAAGAGCCAATTGAACTAGACAGTTCCGAAGTTAAAATAAGTAAGGATTTGTCTACGCAAGGAAGTTTGTGCGCAGAAAGCTCAGGAGTGAACTGTGCTTTGCACTAAACACCCCATATGGATGCTCTGAGCATATACACCCAGAAAGCTGGATTACTTGACTTTCAAAGCAGAGTAAGCAGCCTCATGGAACGGCACTCCTACAGGGTGTTAGTGCAGAAGCAATAGTTTATTGGGAATTCACATCCTAGCTGACTGCTCACCACCTTCCTCTCTAACAAGTCCTAGTGGCAGGTTTCAATTTTAAATTTTAAAAACGAAAGTTAGTGCACTAGTGAAGAATCTTAAGTACTGAAACAGTTTTCATTTGTTTAAAATGACTTTCTTTTAATGGATCCCATCCTGTTTTTGTTTGGCCCCTCAGGCCTTCAAATGGTTGAGTTTTCTTAACTGACAGCTCCTTTTTGTCAACTTTTATGGGTTGTAAGAAGAAGTATGCATGTCGTGTACAATTCATACTTATGCTGGTGAACACATACTGCCGGGTTAATTCCATGGTCATCCACGGAACTATTCCTGTAACTGCACACCAATGTAAGTGAAGGCTGTAGACCCACAGGCATGGAGAGTAGAAGAAGTGCTTTCAGGTTTCTCCAATTTGGGGAAAAAAGGCATCATCTGACCCTTCCAGACTAAGCACCACAGCTATAATTTTTAGTATTGGCGCTCTGATTAGTGAGGGGTTCTCCTCCCCTTCTCTGACCTGCCCAGCAGGGAATTGAAACACAGTGTTTATCACCCCTAACTCAACGTATAACACCCCATTAAGAAAACAACAGAGGAACACTATCAGCTGACCTGTTGATTAGCTCCAAAAAAGCCCTGAGCAGTCACTGCTCTGTCTACCTGTCCCAGTGAAATTGGAGAGACACACACACACACACAGACACCTCTTGGCATTAGCTAGCATACCACATGCTTAGGGTCTATGGGGCTTGGGTCTGTGCTGTGGGAGATGGGAAGGAGGGAGGGAGGAGGGGATTCCTGCTTCAGCAGTGGGGGCGGGGTGGAGGGCAGGGGGAAGACAGACAGACCGACCCTGCTGTGCCTGCAGTCTCTGCTGGAGCTCCAGCCAGGGAGGGCCAGCTCTGCTGTGGAGCAGAGAGCCCCGCCTAGCCCAGACAGCATGCTGGGGGACTCCAGTTTAATTTAAACCAGGAAAGGACAGTCATTCCATAAACTGATTTGACCCAAATCAATTAAGTCTGATACTACATTCAACCAGGTTCATCTCAAACCAGTTTCATAGTTTCATAGTTTCATAGATTTAGGGTCGGAAGGGACCTAGTAGATCTTCTAGCCCGACCCCCTGCCAGGGCGGGAGAACAACAAAACCCCAAAACAAAAAAACTCAAATGAGTCCAGTTCAGTCATTTTAAAACTGGTTTATATGCACTGAACATCTGTTTTGTTACAGATTTAAACCAGTTTCTGATCCTTAAACTAGTTTATGTATAATGTCTGTCCTTAGCCCTAGAGGCTACAATTTCTTATGGCCCCTTAACATGTATGTGGCCATGATTTGTAATGAAACCTGTCCTGGGCTTGCTCCCACTCTCTGCTCCCTCCTACACTACAAGAAGCTCCAAATTCTGGCCCCCCACCCCATGAGAGCTGTTTGACCAAAGGCCAGCCCTGATTATATATGGCACTCATGTACCATGAAACTTCAGATGTTACACTGTGACATTTAGGGGATCGGTAAATCTCTATTGCCCCAGGGCTCCATAACCTGAAAGTCAGGGATGAAAGGTCAGCAATATTTCCCTCGTAGAAGAGAGACTTTTGTGCACTCTGCCCAGACAAGCCCAAGAGGAAACCCTGCCAGAAAACAGGGATGCATCTCTGTTTTGTAACTTTTCATTGTTTACTACTTCTCTGAAAATTTTAAAAATACACACAGGATGCTCTGGGAACATAGCCAAAGCCATTTCAAATGGGCGGAGTGTCGCTACCACACTCCACACACCAGGCTGCTACTTCTCTGTAAAG